TCTCCCGCATGCAGCAGCAGCTGCTGCTGCTGCTGCTACAGTGCCGCCACCACACCCAGCAGCAGCAGCAGCAGCAGCAGCAGCAGCAGCAGGGCTGCCAGCCCCACCATCTGCAGTGCCTCCACCACCAGCACTATTGCCAGCAGCAGCAGCAGCAGCAGCAGAGCCACCGCCACTTACAGCAGCAGCATTGCCGCTGCTGCCAGCAGCAGCAGCGCGAGCAGCACTGCCTCCGTCGTCAGCAGCAGCAGCAGCACCACCACCTCCAGCAGCAGCAACAGCAGCAACAGCAGCAACAGCAGCAACAGCAGCGTTTCCCCTACCCCCAGTCATCATGCCTCCGTTATCTTGTACTCCCAAAACTCCTTCAGCTGCAGCAGCACCTGCGGCTCCGCCTGCAGCAGAAGCAGCAGCAGCAGCAGCAGCAGCAGCAGCAGCAGCAGCACGCCTTCCACTGCACGAGGGGTGCCCAGGGCCCCCTGTGCTGCTGCCGCCTCTTCGTCAGCACTCTGCTGCTGCTGCTGCTGCTGCTGCTGCTGCTGCAGCTGAGGGCTGCTTTCCTCCATGTGACTTCCTGGATGCAGTATCGCCACACAGTGGCCGGCGTCAGCAGCAGCAGCAGCAGCAGCAGCAGCAGCAGCAGCAGCAGCAGCAGCAGCAACAGCAGCAGCAACAGCAGCAATTGCAGTATTCCTTCCCTCCCCCGCAGCACTTGGCGCTGCCCTCCCCCCAATTTTTTATGTTTGGCAGCCACCAGCAAGCGCCCGCAGCAGCCAGCAGCAGCAGCAGCAGCAGCAGCAGCAGCAGCAGCAGCAATAGCCTGATAGGAGAAGCTGAAGCAGCAGCAGCAGCTGCTGCTGCTGCTGCTCAGGGGGCCCAAAATGACGCTAAGCGGAGAGAGGCCCCACCAGAGTTTCAGTGAGCTTGCTGCAGCAGCGGCGATTTGTGTGTTGCTGCTGCTGCAGCCGCAGCAGCAGCAGGTGCTGCTGCGGCTTCGTTGCTGCAGCAGCAGCACCTGCTGCAGCAGAGGGATTGAAGAAGTTTGGTTTGTATGGACTTCGCAAGAAGGCCTTGCTGCCTTTGTTAAGGTGTTTTATGAGTTAAGAAATGCTGCTGCTGCTGCTGCTGCTGCTGCTGCTGCATTTGACGTAGCTGCTGTTTATATTGCCTAGGCTGCGCTTTTGCTGCTAGCGCAACTTGCTGCCGTCGCTTGCTGCTGCTGCTACTTGCTGCTGCTGCTGCTGCTGCTGTCAGCAAGTGCTGCAGCAGCAGCAAGATTTATGCTGTAGAGGCAAAAGGGACAAAAAAAGAGCAGTTTGCTGCTGCTGCAGTGTACGTACACCCGGAGCGCAGCTGCTAGACACCCCCGCGGGAAAGCAGCAGCTGCAGCAACAGCTGCTGCGGCTGCTGCTGCAGCTGCAGCAACAGCTGCTGCGGCTGCTGCTGCAGCAGCAGCGGCTGCAGCAGCTGCAGCAGCTGCTACTGATTTCACAGTAAAGCTTGAAGGTGCTGCTAATAAGGGTTTTCGCGGTGCTGCTGCTCCTGGCGCTTCTGTGGCCTGCTGCTTGTGCTGCTGCTGCTGCTGCTGCTGCTGCTGCTGCTGCTGCACTTGCTGCTGCTGCTAAGCCTAAATCAATTGGAACTTCACACTTCACTAGAACCAAACGGGTCCACCGGAGCAGAGAAACGCAACCCATGTCTGCTGCTGCTGTTGCTGCTGCTGTTGCTGCTGCTTTTGGTGCTGCTGCTGCTGCTGCTGCTGCTGCTGACATTGCTGCGCGCTATTCTGCTGCTGCTGCGCTGCGGGTTGGGTAACGGGGAGGCAAAGGCGGCCGGGCGGCGATGTCTGTGCGCTGCTTCTGCTGCTGCTGCTGCTGCTGCTGCTGCCGCTGCTTTGTGCGGCTGCGGTGGGGTGTGCCGCTGCTGCTGCTGCTGCTGCTGCTGCTGCTGCTGTTGCTGCTGTTGCCGAGGTGTGCGTACAGCTCGCGGCCTTAAAGGGCATTCGAACTGCTCATTGAGGGGAAGGCGCCGACTGGGCGGACTCTCTTGCTGCTGCCGGCTGCTGCTGCTGCTGCTGCTGCTGCTGCTGCTGCTGCTGCTGGCTGAGCGGTCATGGCGAGCTGCTGCAGCAGCAGACGCAGCCACAGCAGCAGCCCTCTGAAGGGAGTAGGGAAGGCTGGAGACCCCAGGCAGCGTTTGGGTTGTCTGTTCTTGTCCTGCTGCTGTTGCTGCTGTTGCTGCTGTTGCTGCTGTTGCTGCTGTTGCTGCTGCTGTTGAGGCAGCAGCAATAGCAGCAGCAACTGCAGCAGCGCCCTCTGCTGCAGCAGCAATAACCTCGCCGCGCCCATGCCACGCGTCCGCCAGGCCGGTTGAGAGTTGGAGCTCCAGGCCTTCCCGTGCTGCTGCTGCTGCTGCTGCTGCTGCTGCTGTGAGATTTGTTGCTGCTGCTGCTGCTCGGTCAGCTGCTGCACCTGCGCGTGGGTCCCCACCTCCCCTGCTGCTGCTGCTGCTGCTGCTGCTGCTGTAGCTGCTGCGCGTCCGTCTTGCTGCTGCCTGTGGCCGCGCGTGCGTCAAGAACACGTCAGGGTCTGCTGCTGCGTGTCTGCCGCCGCTGCTGCTGCTGCTGCTGCTGCTGCTGCTGCTGCTGCTGCTGCTGCTGCTGCTGCTGCTGCTGCTGGCTTTGCGCAGCTGCTGCTGCCGCCGTGCTGCTCTTTTCAGTGCTGCTTTACTTGCAGGGGCCTCCCAGTTGGAGACAGCAGGAAGGGCCCCCCCATAAAAAAAAAGGTCTCCTTCAAGTTCAGAGGAGGCCGCACTCCGGCCTGAGTCCAAACCCTAAACCCTAAACCCTAAACCCTAAACCCTAAACCCTGGCACCTACGCGCAGAGTCTGGGGGGCTGCTGCGCTGCAGAAGGCTCGAGAAGGGACGAAAGCTGCAGCTCTAGGGTTTACAACTTAGGGTCTAGGGTCTACGGCCTAGGGCTTCGCGTTTAGGGTTTAGGGTTTAGGGTTTAGGGTTTAGGGTTTGGGATTTACGCAGTTCCAGCTTGCGGAGGCTAACGGAGGCGTCGACTATGGGCCGGACGATGCGGCCCAAAACTGTCTCCAAGACGCGATCGGGCAGCGTGGCGATGTCTACAAACCACAAACCCTAAACCCTAAACCCTAAACCCTAAACCCTAAACCCTAAACCCTGAGCCGCGGACACGAAACCCCAAACCCTTCACACGAAAGCATAAACCCTTAACGCCAGAGGGCAAGGGGTTTTGCAGCCACGGAGAGACAGGGCTTGAGTGACTCGACAAATAAACCCTAAACCCTAAACCCTAAACCCTAAACCCTAAACCCTCAATCACATGTGGGCAAGGGCTTGGCTCCAAGAAATCGGAGAAGGCTCTGAGAGAAATGGTTACAGTTGTGCTGAAACACGTCGTAGCGGTCCTGCTCACACAAACCCTAAACCCTAAACCCTAAACCCTAAACCCTAAACCCCAAACCCTAAACCCTAAACCCTAAATACGAGCCCTGAGATTCGAATTAAAATACCGATACCCTCTTACTTCAACGTCTGTAGTTGTGTTCCTTCGGCAGCTAAAAATCAGCAAAGGGTCTCTTAGGGTTTAGGGTTTAGTGTTTAGGGTTTAGGGTTTAGGGTTTAGGGTTTACGGGGGTAAAGGATGTGCGCTGCAGGTAGAGAAAGGCTTCAAGCTCTTCCTCAGTTATCTGCGTTCTTCCCATTCTGCAGATCCCAAAAAACACGCTGCGCCCTAAACCCTAAACCCTAAACCCTAAACCCTAAACCCTAGAAGCTGCTTATGTAGGCGAAGCCACACGCCTGACACGCAGACCCTTAACCCTAAACCCTAAACCCTCAAGCCCACGTGGCCCCCAGATCTCGAGCACGGACAAGCGCAAGAAGCCGTGCAGGGTTTAGGGTTTAGGGTTTAGGGTTTAGGGTTTAGGGTTTAGGGTTACGCGAGTTCGTCCTTGAGAAGCTCCTCCCCTGGCCAGCCGCAGCCCTTTGGGCAAACGCAAATTGTTGACATATAAAAATACTCTTTTGAAAACACGCAGACATTCGTGTGCCTGACAGCCACACAAACCCTAAACCCTAAACCCTAAACCCTAAACCCTAAACCCTAAGCCCTAAGCCCTAGGCCCCAGTCCCTGAACCGTTAAGCCCTGGGCCGAAGCCTCTCCAACAATGCAGGCCTCTAGTGCAGCGCTACTAGCAAGGACAAGCGTCGGCGCTGGACGTTGAGGGTTTAGGGTTTAGGGTTTAGGGTTTAGGGTTTAGGGTTTGCACCAAATCCCCTTCTTGGGGTCGTCCAAAAAGAGGGGCCCAAGAAGCTCCGCCTTCCCTCGGGACAAATCGAATACGCGGAGAGTCACTAAGGCCCCCCCCTTGATCATTTTGGTAAACCCTAAACCCTAAACCCTAAACCCTAAACCCTAAACCCTAGGCTCAAAGGCCTATGTCTCTGCAGAAGACAGTAGTCGGCACATGTCTGGAGGAACCGCTGTTGCTAGGGTTTGCGTTTAGGGTTTGGGGTTTAGGGTTTTGCTGCGGCTGGAATCCCTCCGAGGCTGTGTTGCAACAACGGGAAACACCGGGGCCAAGGGTTTAGGGTTTAGGGTTTAGGGTTTAGGGTTTGGCGTTCGTCAGTTCTTGCGATTCTGCTGCCTCCAAAAAACAAAAAGATGCAGCAGCGCAGCGGCCTCCGGGCAAAGGCCCAAAAAGTAAAGCAAGAACTGAAGCCCTGAAAGCAGGAAACCCTAAACCCTTTTTTAGGGTTTGCAACCCCCCCCTTGCGCTCTTCTCAGGTGTACATACACCACAAACTCGCGTCAAAACTAATATTTAAGTTCTTTTTAAAAGTTTAAAACTCAGATCTGTTTTTGTGGAATTGGGTTTGCACCAATGGTCCACCAGAGCCCAGGGGGGCCCCCTGGGGGCCCCACCGGGGGCCCTCCAGGGGGCCCCCAGAGGGTTTGGAGGGGCCCCCGTGGCTCTTTTTATGTTTTTTGTTTTATTTCAGTTATTTGTTGTTTTAATTTTCGTTTTTTCGCGAAAAGAACGGAAAGAAGGATACGGAAGGTTGGGGTGTACGTACACCTACCTGCGAGCGGCGACTGACCAGCGCCGACGCACACAAGTCCATTTGAAGCCTCGGAGGTGGAAAGCTGCATTTAAAACACGAAAAAGGTGTTTTAAAATCAAATTAATTCAAAACTAAATGCACATTTGGCGCGGAATCGCACACTTACTTCGCTCGCCAACTCAGGTGTACGTACACCCCAAAAATGAAGCCACTCGCTGCTGCGCAGCGCATGCGCGCCATCCTCGTGGGGCCCCCCAGTTTGCCGAAAGGAAGCAGCTTTGGGGGCCCCCCCGAGGGCCCTGGGGGCCCCCCTGGGGGCCCCGGGGGGGCCCCCAAAGGCCCCCATGGGGGCCCCCAGGGGGCCCCCTATCTGTACCTGTCTGAGTGCCCTCTCCCGAAGTTAAAGCCAAACGAAATGCTAGTCCGAGTAGGAGCTGCAGGGGTTAATCGCATGGACCTCTTGCAGAAAGCAGGTAAACCCTAAACCCTAAACCCTAAACCCTTAGCACAGACTTGTCCAGGTTGCTTGGATTCCTCCAAAGCTGCAGGGCCCTCACTGCGCGTTCCCTTGAGAGCTTCCCACAGTTCAGCACAAAGGCTTTAGGGTTTAGGGTTTAGGGTCTAGGGTTTAGGGTTTAGGGTTTAGGGTTTAGGGTTTGCGAATTAGGCAAATACCCCCCACCCCCCGGAACCACCGACATCCTGGGCCCCGAGGCTGCTGGGATCGTCGTCTCCAGCACCCTCTACAAAGAGGGTACTCCAGTCGCCTGTCTCTTACCTGGTGAGCACCCCTTGGGGGCCCCCCTTGGGGGCCCCCCTTGGGGGCCCCCCTTGGGGGCCCCCCTTGGGGGCCCCCCTTGGGGGCCCCCCTTGGGGGCCCTCCTTGTGGGCCCCTTGGGGCGTTTCCATTTGGAGGCCCCCCTTGGGGGCCCCCCTTGGGGGTCTCCATTGGGGGTCCTTCTTGGGGGCCCCCCTTGGGGGCCCCCCTTGGGGGCCCCCCTTGGGGCCCCCGGCCCCCTTGCGGGCCTTCCATTGGGGGCCCCCAACCAGGGGTTCCAGTTGGGGGGCCCCATTGGGTTTAGGGTTTAGGGTTTAGGGGCCCCCCATTGGGGGCCCCCATTGGGGGGCCTTGACCAGGGGCCCCCATAGGGGCCCCCAACCCCCAAATGGGGGGCCCCCATATAGGGGGCCCCCAAGGCTGGTGGGGCCCCCTGCTTGGGGGCCCCCTGCTTGGGGGCCCCCTGCTGGGGGCCCCCTGATTGGGGGCCCCTGCTTGGGGGCCCCTTGGTACCCCTTGGGGGCCCTTGTTTGCTAGAGGCTCGGGGGGCCCCTACAGAGCTTGTGTGTTGCTGTCTTGTGAAGTTGCCTATCCCTAAACCCTAAACCCTAAACCCTAAACCCTAAACCCTGTGGTGCGCTTTCAGGGGGCGGCTACGCGGAGTACGTGGCTGCTGACCCAGCCCTTTGCTTTCCAATACCCTCAAATCTCACTATTAAAGAGGCAAGGGTTTAGGGTTTAGGGTTTAGGGTTTAGGGTTTGGGGTTTAGGGTTTGGGTTTAAGGACTTGGGTGTTTTGTTGGGAAACCTCACAAACCTCTGTTTCGACTCCGTGCAAACAGTCGATAAACACTAGCAGCTTGTAAACCCTAAACCCTAAACCCTAAACCCTAAACCCTAGATGCGGGTTTTCTGCTGCCTTTAGGCCGCCTGCATCCCGGAGAACTGGATAACTGCATATCAGCTGCTTGAAGAAGTCGCAAGTAAGTGTTTGAGCTAGGGTTTAGGGTTTAGTGCTTAGGGTTTAGGGTTTAGGGTTTAGGGTTTAGGGTTTAGGGTTCGGCCTGCGGCCTCAGGGCTCTCGGACTTCAAGGCGAACGGGGGCAAACCCTCCGGCATAAAGCACGCCCTTGTGTACGCAGCTGGCTCAGGTAAACCCTAAACCCTAAACCCTAAACCCTAAACCCTGCACCGTAAGGGGGCCTCTAAACCGTAAACCCTAAACCCTAAACCCTAAACCCTAGCTGCTGCGCCTGTGTGCTGAGGCCTCGCAGGGGTTGGCGTGGCGCTGCTGCAGCTCTTTAGGGTTTTCATTCCCTCAGTTTCTGTCATTGCTGTTGCGGGTTCAAACGAGAAGCTGCAGAGGGTGAAGGAACTCGGTCAGATCAGGGTTTAGGGTTTAGGGTTTAGGGTTTAGGGTTTAGGGTTTAGGGTTTAGGGTTTGCGTCTGCAATGCTTGGGGCTGCCCACTGGATGCAGACTTGCGGCTGCCTGTGCTCCGGGCTGCCCTCTCTTGAAGCATGCCGTTAGGGTTTAGGGTTTAGGTTTTGGGGTTTAGGGTTTAGGGTTTACGGTTTAGGGTTTAGGGTTTAGGGTTTGCCTCAGGTGCGGCGGTCTGTCTGAACTACAAAGAGTTGGGAGATTCTCTTGGAGACGAAGTGCTCAAAGCAACGGGCGGCCAGTAAACCCTAAACCCTAAACCCTAAACCCTAGCGCAGAACCTAAACCCTTAACCCTAGCTTGGAAAGGCAGCTAGCTGCCTCCGGCCGGCAAGGGTTTAGGGTTTAGGGTTTAGGGTTTAGGGTTTCGTGCACTCTTTGAGACACAGAACGCAGCTCGTTCAAAAGGAGAATAATAAATAAATAAATAAATAAATAAATAAATAAATAAATAACAAATAATAAATAAATAAATAATAAATAAACAACAAATAAATAAATAAATAAATACATAAATAAATAAATTAATAATAAATAAATAATTCTTTAATTGGACTGCAGGGGAGTAGATATAGTGCTGGACTGCGTCGGAGCTTCTTTTGTAAACCAAACCCTCAAAAGCCTGAAGACGGATGGAACGTGCGCCAAACCCTAAACCCTAAACCCTAAACCCTAAACCCTAAACCCTCGCAGGGCGCCTCACGCCTCCCCTTCAGCAATTCTTTTCCCCCGCCGCTCCGTGCTGCCCCGGGCGCCTCCCCAGGCTCTAGGGTTTAGGGTTTAGGGTTTAGGGTTTAGGGTTTTGTTTGCAGGTGGGTGTTGTATGGCTGCATGGGGGGCCACCGCGCAAACCTCTCTTTTGGGGTTTTGCTGCAGCAGCGGCTGCGGCTTCTCAGCAGCACTTTGAGGAGCCGCTCTTCTCTTTATTTATCTTCTCTTGTCAGCAGATTCAAAACAGAAGTTGTTCCTCTCTTCCAGCAGAACAAACTCAAGGTCAGCTAGCTAGCTAGCTAGCTAACTGCTGGCTAGCTAGCCAGCTAGCTAGTTGGCTAGCTGGCTGCTGGCTTGTTGGCTAGCTGCCTGGCTAGCTAGCTAGCTAGTCGCCGCTTAGCTAGCTGCCCAGTAGTTAGTCGCTAGCCAGCTAGCTGTTGGCTAGCCAGACCCCAGCTAGCTAGTTGTTGGCTAGCTAGCTACTGCTTAGTTAGCTGTTGGCTAGCCAGCTGTTGGCCAGTTAGCTGCTGGCTAGCTAGCTGTTGGCTAGCCAGCCGTTGGCTACCTAGCTATTGGCTAGCCAGTAGCTAGCTAGCTACTGGCTAGCTAGCCGCTAGCTAGCTAGCTGTTGGCTAGCCAGCCGTTGGCTAGCTAGCTATTGGCTAGCCAACAGCTAGCTAGCTAGTGGCTAGCTAGCCGCTAGCTAGCTAGCTGTTGGCTAGCTGGGGCAATCCTGACTTTAATTCTTTTTATTTTCAGGTAATAATAGACGCGGAGTTTTCCCCCGAAGCTGCTGAAGAGGCCCACAAGCGCATGCAGAGCAACAGCAACTTTGGCAAAGTTTTGATTCTCATGGACCCCCAACTCGCCTCTCTAAACCCTAAACCCTAAACCCTAAACCCTAAACCCTAGGCCCTGATGCGCGCTGCGCCTTCAGCCCGCGCCGCGGGCGCAGAAACTCGCTGCAGCGCTGCGGAGCCCTCCGAAACCCTAAACCCTAGCCTTCAGCCCCAAAGCCTAAACCCTAGGCCCCAAACCACAAACCCTAAACCCTAAAACAGCGTTTCCAGCTTTCCTGGGGCCTGGGCTCCAAGCAAGACCTAACTTTGGGTTGAATATCAAACATTTCAGGTGTACAAACACCTGAAGGGACAAAACGGGTCCCCCAGCTAGCTGCTGGCTAGCTAGCCAGCAGCCAGCTGCTGCTGGCTAGCTAGCTGCTGGTTAGCTAGCTGCTGGTTAGCTAGCTGCTGGCTAGCTAGCTGCTGATTAGCTCACTGTTGGCTAGCCAGGTACTGGCTGGCTAGCTGGTTGCTAGCTAGCTAGCTACTAGCTAGCTAGCTAATAGCTAGCTAGATACTAGCCAGCCAGCTGTTGCCTAGATAGCTGTTGTCTAGCCAGCAGTTGGCCAGCTAGAAATCTGCTAGCTAGCTGTTGGCTAGCCAGTTACTGGCTTGCTAGCTACTAGCTAGCTAGCTGTTGGCTAGCTAGCTGTTGGCTAGCTAGCTGTTGGCTTGCCAGCCCCTAGCCAGCAGTTAGCTAGCTAGCTGTTGGCTAGCTAGCTGTTGGCTTGCCAGCTCCTAGCTAGCTAGCAGTTGGCTAGCTAGCAGTTGGCTAGCTGGCTGTTGGCTGGCTGACCTCCTTCTTCCGCCTGCTGCTGCTGCTGCTGCTGCTGCTGCTGCTGCTGCTGCTGCGTGGCTAGCTGGGCAGCAAGGCCCAGGTAGGTGTGGGGAGCTAGCTGCAGCAATTTGTCCTTTTCTGCTGCTGGCAGCGCAGCAGCAGCAAAAAAGCTTTTGAGGCTGTGGGGCCCCACAGCCACTCCCCGCGTGAGGGCTTTTAGCTGCTCGTAGCCTGCTGCTTGGCCACACCTGCAGCAGCAAATAAATAAATAAATAAATAAATAAATAAATAAATTAATTAATTAATTAATTAATTAATTAATTAATTAATTGATTAATTAATTAATTAAATTTGTTTGTTGGTTTGGCTAGCTGGGGGAGAGGGCGAAGCTGTAGGTGGCTGGTCAAGTGGTTTTACGCCGCACTCGCACAAGCGAGGGTTTAGGGTTTAGGGTTTAGGGTTTAGGGTTTGGGAGGGCTTAGGTTTGGGAGGGCTTAGCTCGGTGGCTGAGGGTTTAGGGTTTAGGTGCACTTTCTGAGGAGGGTTTGTCGGGGCAGTCCAGCCCTCAGCGACTGCAGCAAGGGTTTAGGGTTTAGGGTTTAGGGCGCTTAGGGTTTAGGGTTTAGGCACTTTCTGAGCAGGGTTTGCGCGGGTTCGGCGAGGAGCTCCCAGTGCTGGTCGAGCTCTTTGAGGGTTTGCTCTTCGTAAACCCTAATTTTATTAAGTCCTTTTAATGCAGACACAAACCCTAAAAGTCCAAACCCTAGACTGCAGCCGAGGCTGCGGAGGCAGGTGGAGTCGGAGAGGTCCCGCTGCAGCCTCGAGACTGGCAGTTTGCCGCTAGAGGGAAAACGCAAACAATTCCAAATTCCAATTCTTAATCCATTTGTTCTTTAATCAATTTATTGTAATTCTTAAATTCAGTTTATTCTTTAATTCAATTTATTTATTTATTTCCCATTTTCCAGCTTTTGTTGCATTATTTTAACTCCAAATTCCACTTAATTCCGCCGCATGCAAAACCCCAGCCCCGCGCTGTCTGTACACCCCAGCAGGAGCTGCCTATACACCCCAAACGCCCTGCAAGCTGTCTGTACACTCCAGAGACAAATAAAGGCATTTTTTGCATTTAAATGTAAACAAAAGTTGTTTATATATTTCAAATATGATGCAAGGTGTCTATACACTTCAAAAATAATCAAAAGTTGCAAATACACCCCAGAGATCTACACAAGCTGTCCATACACCCCAAGTGCGCTGAAAGCTGTCCGTACACTCCAGAGATCAACAGAAGCTGTTTATTCATTTAAAAAACAGACAAATAAAACAAAAGTTGTTTATAAACTTCACAAATGTTGTTTATAAACTTCAAAAGCTATTTATAAACTTCAAAAGTTGTTTATAAACTTCAGAGATAAACAGAAGCTGTTCGTACACCCCAAATACGGTAAAAGCTGCCTATACACCCCAAGTGGGATACAAGCTGTCTGTACACTCCAAAGATAAACAGAAGATGTCTATACACCTCGGGGATAAATAAAAGTCATTTATTCATTTCAAAAATAAATAAAAGTTTTTTATTGACTTCGAATATAAGCAGGAGCTGTTCATTCACCCCAAATAAGATAAAAGCTGTCTATACACTCCAGAGATGAGCAGAAGCTGCCTATACACCCCAAGTGGTGCAGGTGTCTGTACACCTCAAGCAGCGCGCTGCGTCTGCCCCGCGCCTCTGGCTATTTCCCTTCGACTTAGGGTTTAGGGTTTAGGGTTTAGGGTTTAGGGTTTAGGGTTTACCTGAGGAACCGCAGCATGGCGCTGGAAAGCCCCAAGTTGCCTTCAGCATTTTCGAAGTCAATAGGGTTTATCTTATGAGGCATTGTGCTGCTGCCGACCTCCGACTCCACGTGCTGCAGCAGCAGCAGGTCCCTGCAGCGCGAATTAGGGTTTAGGGTTTAGGGTTTAGGGTTTGGAAAGCCGCCAGGAGCGGTTGAGCGGGGGGCGCCCCAGCGCAGGGTTTAGGGTTTAGGGTTTAGCACTGCTGCCGCTTTCGCCTCAGGCCCGCGCTGCGCGCCGCGCCCCCCCCGGAGGGCCTAGGGTTTAGGGTTTAGGGTTTAGGGTTTAGGGTTTAGGGTTTGCCTGGAGATGTAGGCCCAGCAGTCTTGACAAAGGCCTATTAGAGTTGTATTAAAGCGAGCCACGCAGTCGCAGAGTTCCGCCAGCCAATCGTGGCATTCTATTTGCGTGCTCAGGGGCTGGTAGCCCAGCCCCAAACCCTGCAAACCCTAAACCCTAAACCCTAAACCCTAAACCCTAAACCCTAAACCCTAGACCCTCGGCCCTGGGGCCCGGCTGGGCCTCGGGGTCTCCGAGATCCGGGCAGGCCCTAAAGTCTAAACCCTTGCGACACTTCGCACGCTGCAGGCGCTGGCTGAACCCCGGCCCCAAACCCCAAACCCTAAACCCTAAACCCTAAACCCTAAACCCTCGCACCTCTACGAACTGCTGCGCCAGCTTCGGCCAGTCCTCTTCGGGAAAAGCCACAACATGCGCGTTGAAGTTCCCCACAGCGCCGCTGAACTTGCCCAGCGGTTTCACCTCCTCAAGCCTAGCAGCAGCAGCAGCAGCAGCAACAGCAGCAGCAGCAGCAGCAGCAGCAGTGTGAGTGCAGCAGCAGCAGCAGCGGCATGAGTGCAGCGGCAACAGCCGCCGCAGCAAGAGCAGCAGTACCACCACCGCCAGCCGCAGCAGCTGCGGCCAAAAGCGCGCAGCAGCAGCACCACACACACGGCCAGCAGCAGCAGCAGCAGCAGCAGCAGCAGCAGCAGCAGCAGCAGCAGCAGCAGCAGCAG